CATTGTGTTGAAAGCAGGTTTATATGCATTGTGTTGACAGCAGGTTTAGATACATAGTTTTGACAGCAGGTTTAAATACATTGTGTTGACAGTAGGTTTAGATACATTGTGTTGACAGCCGGTTTAGATACATTGTGTTGACAGCAGGTTTAGATACAATGTGTTGACAGCAGGTTTAGATACATTGTGTTGACAGCCGGTTTATATACATTGTGTTGACAGCAGGTTTAGATACATAGTGTTGACAGCAGGTTTAAATACATTGTGTTGACAGCAGGTTTAGATACAATGTATTGACAGCAGGTTTAGATGCATTGTGTTGACAGCAGGTTTAGATACAACGTGTTGACAGCAGGTTTAGATACATTGTGTTGACAGCAGGTTTAGATACATTGTGTTGACAGCAAGTTTAGATACATTGTGTTGACAGCAGGTTTAGATAATATTTTAACAGCAGGTTTAGATACATTGTGATGTTGCAAGGTTGCTTTACAACAGGCATATTTTTGTAAAAATACCTTACTATATCCCTGTTTTCACCGTATATAAAGGTTTGTAAATTTACCTTGTATGTTCGTTTACCTGGTATGTATGTTTACCTGGTATGTAAATTTACCTGGTATGTATGTAACCTGGTATGTATGTTTACCTGGCCTGTACATAACCTGGTATGTATGTTTACCTGGTATTTAAATTTACCTGGTATGGATTTTTACCTGGTATGTAAATTTACTTGGTATTTATGTAACCTGGTATGTATGTTTACCTGGTATGTATTTTTACCTGGTATGTAAATATACCTGGTTTGTATCCTGGTATGTTTGTAACCTGGTATGTAAATTTACCTGGTATGTAAATTTACCTGGTATGTAGGTAACCAGGTATGTATATAACCAGGTATGTATGTAACCTGGTATGCATGTTTACCTGGTATGTATGTTTACCTGGTATGTATGTTTACCTGGTATGTATATAACCAGGTATGTATGTAACCTGGTATGCATGTTTACCTGGTATGCATGTTTACCAGGTATGCATGTTTACCTGGTATGTATGTTTACCTGGTATGTATATAACCTGGTATGTATGTAACCTGGTATGTCAGTAACCTGGTATGTATGTTAACCTGGTAGGTATGTAACCAGGTATGTATGTTTACCTGGTATGTATGTAACCTGGTATGTATTTTAACCTGGTATGTAAATTTACCTGGTAAGTAAATTTACCTGGTGTGTATGTAATCTGGTTTGTACTTTACCTGGAATGTATTCCGTCTTTGCATATTCCAGAGTTATCTTCTCTTGGGAGCAGGTATTGATTGTTACGTCATTGGTTTGTGCGAGAAAATTACGTCGTTTTCTCAAAAATTGATGACGTTACTCTCACAAACAAGTTACGTAAAAATCAATACCTACTCCCAAGAGAAGATAACTCTGCGATACGCAAAGACGGAATATAACCTGGTATGTAAGTAACCTGGTGTGTATATAACCAGGTATGTATGTTTACCTGGTATGTATGTAACCTGGTATGTATGTTTATCTGGTATGTATATAACCAGGTATGTATGTTTACCTGGTATGTATATAACCTGGTATGTATGTAACCTGGTATGTAAATTTACCTGGTATGTATGTAACCTGGTATGTAAATTTACCTGGTATGTAGGTAACCTGGTATGTAAATTTACCTGGTACGAAGTAACCTGGTATGTAAATTTACCTGGTATGTAAATTTAATTTACATGGTATGTAAATTTACCTGGTATGTATGTTTACCTGGTATGTATGTAACCAGGTATGTATGTTAACCTGGTATGTATATAACCATGTATGTATATAACCAGGTATGTACATTTACCTGGTATGTATGTAACCAGGTATGTATGTTAACCTGGTATGTATATAACCATGTATGTATATAACCAGGTATGTATGTTAACCTGGTATGTATATAACCAGGTATGTATATAACCAGGTATGTACATTTACCTGGTATGTAAATTTACCTGGTATGTAGGTAACCTGGTATGTAAATTTACCAGGTATGAATGTTTACCTTGTATGTATACAACCAGGTATGTATGTTTACCTGGTATGTATGTAACCTGGTATGTATGTAACCTGGTATGTATATTTATCTGGTATGTAGGTAACCTGGTATGTAAATTTAATTTACCTGGTATGTAAATTTACCTGGTATGTATGTAACCTGTTATGTACGTTACCTGATATGTATGTTTACCAGGTATGTATATAACCAGGTACGTATGTTTACCTGGTATGTATGTAACCTGGTATGTCAGTAACCTGGTATGTAAGTAACCTGGTATGTATGTTAACCTGGTATGTATGTTAACCTGGTATGTATATAACCAGGTATGTACATTTACCTGGTATGTAAGTAACCTGGTATGTATATAACCAGGTATGAATGTTTACCTGGTATGTAAGTAACCTGGTATGTATGTTAACCTGGTAAGTATATAACCAGGTATGTACATTTACCTGGTATGTAAATTTACCTGGTATGTAGGTAACCTGGTATGTAAATTTACCAGGTATGAATGTTTACCTTGTATGTATACAACCAGGTATGTACATTTACCTGGTATGTATGTAACCTGGTCTGTAAATTTATCTGGTATGTGAATTTACCAGGTATGTATGTTTACCTGGTATGTATGTAACCTGGTATGTATATAACCTGGTATGTATATAACCAGGGATGTACATTTACCTTGTATGTATGTAACCTGGTATGTAAATTTACCTGGTATGTAGGTAACCTGGTATGTAAATTTAATTTACCTGGTATGTAAATTTACCTGGTATGTACGTTACCTGGAATGTATGTTTACCAGGTATGTATATAAACAGGTATGTATGTTTACCTGGTATGTATGTAACCTGGTATGTAAATTTTCTGGTCTCTAAATTTACCTGGTATGTACATTTTCTGGTCTCTAAATTTACCTGGTTTGTATGATTACCTGGTTTGTATGTTTACCTTGTCTGTATGTTCTAACAGAAATCAGGTGGATTTCATTTATTTCTATACATTACAGTCTAAAATGAATATCAACACCTGCCATCTTAACATGCAGAAAGATCCAAATGATAAATGGTTTTTAATGAAATAGTCTGATTTTTTTTTAGTGTTTTTAGCTTTTGCAGAATGTCTTTTTTTTGCTAATGAAATTAAAAGAAATTTATCTTTACCCACAGACATGAAAATGATACACAGCCAAGTAGACGTAACTATTCTCTGCTAATTGACATAACATGTTTTTACTTCCCAGTAAAATTCTAAATCCATCCCAAATTTAATGACTTTTGAAGACTTCAATGGCGTATGAAGTGTGACTCAGCACTGTGACTTTTTAAATACAAAACCAGCACAAACAACAGCTCTCACACTAAAGTTTAGTGGTATAATTAATCTATTCCTACCAGTTCCTCCATCAATTTCACCTGTTTCTGTCTGTCAATCACAAGATCTCATCACCTGGCATGTACAAACATCATGTAAACAACCACATCCACTGTCATTTATAAAATACTTGAAAGTCAGCCACTGGGATAAATCTAACATCACAGCCAATGAGACAAAACATTACCAAGAAACTATCAGCAACTGCGATCAAATTTTACCGTAAAGCTGTCAGCCACTCAGACAAAACTTTACCAAGAAACTATCAGCCAATGAGACAAAGCTTTACGGAGAAACTATCAGCCAATGAGACAAACTTCAGCCAAGAAACTATCAGCCACTGAGACAAAACATTACCGTAAAGCTAGAAGCCACATGGACAAACATTTACCACAAAGCTAGCAGCCACATGGACAAACATTTACCACAAAGCTAGCAGCCACTGGGACAAACCTTTACCAAGAAACTATTAACCTCTGAGACAAAACTTTACCGAGAAATTATCAGCCACTGAGACAAAACTTTACCAAGAAACTATCAGCCAATGAGACAAAGCTTTACGGAGAAACTATCAGCCACTGCAACAAACCTTTACCAAGAAACTTACAGCCACTGCGACAAACCTTAACCAAGAAACTTACAGCCACTGCAACAAACCTTAACTAAGAAACTTTCAGCCACTGAGACAACTTTACCAAGAAACTATTAGCCACTGAGACAAAACTTTACAAAGAAACTATTAGACAGTATTATATATATATATAAAGTTATTAGCCACAGGACAAAACTTTACCACAAAGCTAACAGCCACAGGGACAAACATTTACCATAAAGCTATCAGCCACAGGGACAAACCTTTACCACAAAGCTGGCAGACACTAGGACAAACCTTTACGACAAAGCTAGCAGCCACTAGGACAAACCTTTATTACAAAGCTGGCAGACACTGGGACAAACATTTACCACAAAGCTGGCAGCCACTGGGGCAAACCTTTACCATAAAGCTGGCAACCACTGGGACAAACCTTTACCACAAAACTGGCAGCCACTTAGACAAAACTTTACCAAAAGCCTGGCAGCCATTTGGGCAAACCTTTATTACAAAGCTGGCAGCCACTGAGACAAACCTTTATTACAAAGATGGCAGCCACAGGGACAAACCTTGACCACAAAGCTGGCAGCCACAGAGACAAACCTTTACCACAAAGCTAGCAGCCACTGGGACAAACCTTTACCACAAAGCTGGCAGACACTGGGACAAACATTTACCACAAAGCTAGCAGCCACAGGGACAAACCTCTACCACAAAGCCTGGCAGCCACTGGGACAACCCTTTACCACAAAGCTGGCAGCCACTTGGACAAACATTTACCACAAAGCTAGCAGCCACTGGGACAAACCTTTACCAAAAGACTGGCAGCCACTGGGACAAACCTTAAGCATGGCATAGCAATTCCGTTTTTCAGCACCAATGATCATGTAGCAAAACTTTCCAACAATGATGACTTTCATTGAGCAGTAGTTTATGTTGATATCTTTCAAAACCTATCGCTGTTTTAATGTTATGTAACTCAGCTTTTATAACTCTAAGGTCATATCTTATCATGCCAGCAAACAAACCAACAAACATTTCTGGTAGATTCTGATGACTTTCTGACAGGTACAGATATAAGATGTAATTTGAGTAAGCTACACATTCCCAGTTTGTTGTATTCATACTGCTGTAGTCAAATCAGAACAAGAGGTTGTCTACGAGACATGATAAAAGACATCCTGTCTATGTCTTTGTAAACACACAGATGTAGTGTTTATCAGAGGACAATACTTCCTCATATATACAGGAAATAGTTCACAACCTTATCTTCTCAACACGGCAAATGCCATTTTAATGAGATCTTATTTTGGATACTAAACTCTGGAAATTGTGCTGTTTTTAAAGGTTAGGAATTTAGTGTTGACTTTAATGAATGAAGTTTAGTTTTATTGATTACTTTTCCATTCCACACAAGCTTCTGATGTTATCCAAGTGCACATATACCATCTCAGCCTCCAGTAAGTTTACAGACATTAGCACTGAATACGAGCATAGTTAACACTTAAGCCTGGCCAACCAGTTTCCAAATAACTTTCATTATCTAAGTTGTTCATGTATTTGCATCACCAAAAAACTTCTGTTCTATAAACAAATTTCTTACCATAACTAAGTCCTACAAACAAAATGCTTGTCCTGATCAAGTACCCCAAAAGGAATTTCTCCCTGCAATGTGCCTTATAATGACACTCATATTCTATTTAGTAACAGTGACCTTGACCTTAGAAACTTTTTAAACTTATAGAGCACATCTACATATTTCAGTGCATCACCAAGTGAAATTACAAAAGGATTAGTATTTTGGATTCCGAGATAAGGACCATACCCATTGGTCTAATTTGAGTAACAGTGACCTAGACCTTGATCAAGAATCATCTTAAAAGCCTAAGGCACATCTACATATCCCATTGTATTTTGTCAAATTTCAAAAAGATTGGTCTTCTGGATTCCAAGATAAGGACTGTAATCCCGATGGTCTACTTTTAGTAACAGTGACTTTGTCCTTGACCTTAGAATCTTTTAAACGACTATTGCACATCTACATACTACAGTGTATCACTATGTCAAATTTCAGAAACAAAATGTGGATGGATAGACAGTGGGACAATGTGATTACTTAATTTGGCACTTGTATCTCAAATGGAGGGCCATAATAACAAGGACTGGTCAGGATCATGCACTTATCATTCCCACTTATGTTTTGCAAAATTAATTACCGGTAAGTAGAAGTTAAGTTCAAGTTAAACGATAAAGATTTAGTGACACTAGAAGCCAAACGAAATTGGATTGTAAAATCAGACATGATTTTCATTGGAGCTTAACACATGTAAGTTACACTAGAATCAACATTTACTAGACAAAAGCTAGCCCCAAAACACCTTACCGAGAGTTGAGAGTCCGAGTCCATTGTTCTGAAGGATGCCTGTGTCTGAATCCACAGCCTTACTGAGAGGGTAAGCTTTGTCATCCCTTTTCAGTCCTAGCATTGTCAGACGGGCCAGGTACATGTTGGGGGCATTCCTCTCTATACTCTTCACAATCACAGACTACAAGTCAAACAGATGAAATCTATTGGTGACAGACTGAAGGAGTCGGGTACATGTTGGGGCATCGTTCACACAGTATATGCTATTGGTGATGGAGATAGATAAATCCCATGTATGTGTAGAAGCATTCCTTTTTATTCCTGTTGTTGTAAATTAGAATACCAGTGTTAGGAAGGAACCCATAGACACAGGACAGTTCCTAAAGTTATATTGAAGGAGTATGATTTTAAAGACTCCATTTTTTCCTATAAGATTCCATCCCCAAGGGAGGCCACACCCTCCATTTATACAATGCTGAGTCCCATGAGCCCATGGATGCTCCAGACTAATTTCGATTAAACTGATTTACCCATTCTCAAGGATTAGGAATTTAAACCCATATCCCATAGGCCTTGTCCCTCTACAGTTTTTTTTTACAAAATTATGTTTCTTTGGCCTAGGATGTTCCAGACCGAAATAAATTGCTTTTCCTATACCAAAGAAGAACAATGTTAAAGATTTACCTTATTTTCCCTACATGGTCCTGTCCCTTTTGGCCCAAGGGGCCATACTCTCCATTTATATATTAATGAGTCCCCTTTGTTTACGGAAGCTCCAGACCAATTTAGGATAAAATCACTTAATTAATTTTTATTTCTTCTATTTAGCCTTGTCCCTATATAGGCCACATCCTTCATTTATGCAGCACTTCATCCCCTTGGCCAAAAGATGATGCAGATCAGATTTAGTCTAAATCCTTTCCCCTGTTCTAGACTAGTTGCATTTTAAAAGTAAAGTTGATGATGAAGTTAGCCCTTTAGGCAAGGTGAGCTAAAAAGGTTATGGCAAATATCAGAATACCTCACTGAATATCCTAACATTCAAGTACCAGTATATAAATGAATATCTCTACAAATTTAACCTATATAGTAATACCCTGCTCTTATAAACATTTAATCAGTTTGTTTACCTAGTATCACCAAATTTTATTAATTACAAGAGAAAAAATCCTTCACTCTTGGTCCCTAAATTCAATCAGTACAAGATCTGAAATAAATTTTCCTTCCAAAATGTTATCTAAAAATATCAATTCTCCAATGTCCTAATAGCTTGGCTATATGTGTGGCTTACTAAATGTAGTTAAATAACATTACCCTGAAGCTTTCTATACATTTATTACAAATCATGATGAAGCCTTTTTTAATACACAACAATTGACTACATTCCACACATAATGCGGACGCAATCAATCTTTTACTTATCAGATTACATAACTATCAACTACCACAGTATCCATTATTCCGTTACCTAAAATATGTTTTGTTGGTCCATTTATTAGATATTTGTTTAGACTATGAACCAGTAGGTGACCATTAGAACTTTCTGAGTGCCTGTCAATGAATCACCACTAGTTTACATTACATCCAGTAACATTATATTTCACCACCAGCTGTTTGGGGTCAATATTTCATAGCAAGGGGTTTTAACAAGAATATTAAGCGGGGTGCTTTTTTATCCAGCAAGTTTGGTTAAATAGATAAAGGTTTTAATGATAAACAAGAGGCCCATGGGCCTTAACGGTCACCTGATATATTTATACACAGAGCTGATTTTGTTTTTAACAGGAACAGAAATATTATTCAAAGTGACAAAATACAAGAGGCCCAGAGGGCCTGTATCGCTCACCTGGATACCAAAGCAATCATGGCAAAATATTCTCCGAATGAGATCAAGGGAATATGCCAGACCCCAAGGCCAATCCTTGTAGCATATCTGTACATGTATTAGATTCTTCATGCCCAGCAATTTTATGTATGGTTATGGGGTGGGGATCTCAACTGTTTCCAAGCTTTGACTCAGAAACTAGGTCCCTAGGGTTGTGGCCAGACCCCAGGATCAATTCTAATATCGTGACTGCATTTGTCTCTTTTTGCCCAGCATTTGTATATATAGTTTTGGGGTGGGGATCTCAACCATTTC